CTCTCATTCATTCATTCATTCATTCATTTCTTTCCCTAACTGTATGGAAACATAACCTCCATCAAGTTATTCCACATTCCACGATCAAACAAACCTTTCAGATCGTATAGTAACAACTTACGCACCCCATTGCGGTATGCCTTATCCGCTTTACTATTCGGTTCCACATTTTCTGGTGGGGATTTTAATTTCTTCTGTAAAGATCGCGGTGGCCTGGCGGCAACCATTTCCAATTGCCGCTGCACATTTAAAGCCTCACGATAAACCGCCTCTAATGAAGGAAGTGAAGTGAGAATATCCACCGCCGTGTCTATCTTCATCATATCATTCGTCGTAAGATTGTACAGCACAAAGGACATTTGATAAGCCCAGAAGGCCCACAACACCAATCCAATCATCACGGCAAAGAAAAGTAAACACGCAGGGAGGGTTTGATGCGTAACGAGAATCGCAATATAATCTAATAAACGAAGATGATACACTCTTCCATTACCAAGATATAATACCCAACCCCAGGCACGATGGCGAACAAGAAATCCCTTCATAATCGCACATAAATCCCAAGAGGCCCATGCACAACTCATCGCATGCATAACGAGAAAAAGTAAAAACCAACGATGTGTACCCTCCGCAACATCATTATTAATCCACGGACAATGATGATCAAAACGACGAACACAGCGATCACACAATCGACAGTGTTTACTTCGGCTTGGACGGGGAACATGACACGTTACACACATTATACCAATTGCCTTTGCAGGATCTTGTGGAGGTCCAATAGTGCCATTGCGTAATCCCATCACGGTGTGATTGCCAATACCGTAGAGAATACCATCTAATATATACTTTTGATTTTGTCGAGTCTCCGCCTCTGGTGAGAGAAGAAAGGAACGTTTCCCTTCATTCTTTTCCTTTTCTTCTTTTTCTTTTCCTCCTTTTAATAATGATTTCCCAGATGGGATGGACTTTTGTTTCTGCTGTAAATGTGAGTTGAGTTCCTTTCGTTTCTTCTCTGCGGCATTCGTAAAAAATAACCGTTGACTCTCCTGTTCCTCCGCTGCTGTGATCACACCGGGATCGGCGCACACCGCCAGTAAATAAAACCACTCCGATAACACTACCAATCCAATAGAGATAAACTTAGATAAAAGAGAAGCCTCCAGGTAGGGAAGGGCAAACACAAGATAAAGAAACTCTACACTCCACACCAGTAGAATATAAAAAATCACCATAAATGAATTACGTTCATGAAAGGTGTGTTCTGTGCAGCGATTCCATTTACGTCTACCACGTGCGTAACTGCAGCCAAAGAATAATCCACAGCAACAACCACAACACATACCAGGACAGTCCATTAAAAGACGGTAGAGCTGACCAACAACTCCATCTCGATGATAACGGGTGGGTCCCATAATAACAACATACATAAACACCGCCACCAAAAGGATGATAAACATCACCACTAGAAAGAGTATAGCTAGTCCCATTTTTTTTTTTTTTTTGGGTTTGTTTGTTTTCGTTTGTCAATGGAAAAAAATGGGAAATCAAAATAAAGCGTTAACGCAAAGAAAGAACGAAAGAAATAAACCGCTATATATAAAAAAATAAATAAAAGTAAATGGCTTCTGATGTATATCAGTGCCCTGTACCTTTTCTTTATATATATATATATTCTCTCTATCTCTCTCTCTCTGTGTGTGTGTGTAATACAAAAGGGGCGGTCGTGAGTTTATGTACGTCCAATAAGTTTAACAGAGACGACCCACAAGAGAACGCAGAGCGACGTAGTCCTCCTTATTTTCTAATAATAATAATAATAATAATAATAAACCTACAGTTCTAAGCAAATGAGAAAAAAAAAACAAGAAAGAGAGAACAAAGGGGTTAAAGAGGAATAATACAAAAGCAGAAGAAAAAAAAAGAATGGAGGATCATTAACTGTATTTCAAAACCAAACACAAAAAAAAAAAAACAAATAAATAAGAAAGCAAAGTATATTCCATTTACAACTATACTTTTATTCTCTCTTTTTTTTTTTTATCGTAGACTAGAATATCATCTCATTCCACAGTAAAAGAGCACACTGAGTAAAAACAAAAACAAAAAACAAAACAAAAGAAAAACGAAAAGCGATCAAAGGTAAAAAAGAAAAAAAAAGTGGAATATAGAAAAAAGATAAACGGACAGATAAATAAATAGAAAGAGAGATAGATATGAATGGATAGATATATATATAGAAAGATAGATAGATAGATAGATAGATAAAGCGAAATTAGAGAGTGAAAAGGGGAAAAAAAAACAAAAAACACTCACATTTCTATTCTTCTGTCTCTTTCTTATGGGTAGGTGCAAATTGCACATCACGTGATTCGCAAAGAGAGATATTATCATTTTTATCCTTACAGTTGCTGTTGGTGTCAGTATTGTTACTCTCAGTTCCTCCTTCTTCTTCTTTTTCTTTTGTGGGAGTTTCAACGGGTTCTTCTTCTCCTTCTCTCAGTTCTCTCTCAATCGTCAAAACATCATCTGTGCTAAAGCGAGAAACATCTACACTTGCTTCTCTCTTCATGGAGGAACCACTTTTTTCTCCCCCTACGGATGAAGACGGTAGTAACACTTTATTCTCTTCTTCCCCATTCTCTTCTTCTTCTTCTTGTTCTTCTTCCTGCTGGAATACACTCACTGTGTTCGGACAGGGACTTTTCTCAGCAGAGTTGAATGAAGATTGTTCCTGAAAACGCTCAGACATTAATCTCATCATTGGTGTACGTGGTGGCTTCCCTGGAGTATCCACACCAGCAGCAGTAGTAGTAGTAGTAGTAGTAGTAGTAGTAGTATTATTCTCATGATGAGAAGAGGGAGAATTGTTATCATCCTCACCACTAAAAGCAGAAAAACCAATAGGAATAGAAGGAATAGAAGAAGGAGGAGCTAAAGGAGGATGTTGTTGTTGATTATGTTGATTATGATGACGAAGGATTTCAATATCACCTGTACTTCTCTCATACGGTGATTGCGGAGTCCATGAACGTGAGAGAAAGTCTGTACTTCGAACACGTCTGTGAACTGTATCTGTGGATTGCTGTGCCCAGTGAGTGACATCAAAGTTTCCATGCGGTGAACGCCATGAAAAGGCACGTCGTCTCTTATCTGAACTACCAGAAGTAACAGACGCCGGTGATGGTTCTATATGAGATGTCGCCCTAAAGGTTGTTAATGTTGCGGCTGTGTTGGTAGTTGTATTTGTATTTGTAGTGATGGTTGCGTTTGTATTGGATTGTACAGATAAACGTCGCATTAGTAAACGTTCTTGCCGTACTTGATCCACACGGCGTTGTCGCTGCAGTCGTGAGTTGTGTGGTAATGGTGGTGCAGTTGCAGAGATTAAACGAACAACATCTCCAGATTGTTGTTTTTGTTGATATGATAGTGATTGTAATTGTTGTTGTTGTTGTTGTTGTCCTAATACTCCTGCTGCTGCTGCTGCTGCTGCTGCTGCTGCTGCTGTTCCTTCTATTGTATTTGTATTTATATTTATATTTGCTTCTGCTGCCCATTTCTTTGTTTTCTTCACATACGCCATCACTGTACTACGAAGTGCATCTACCCATTGATGTTTCTGCTCTGGTGTTGGGGCAAAAAAAGTCAAACGAGATTCATTCGTGACAATATCAAAGGCATTCACCGCATCTGCTGTATCATCTAATTCCACTACTTTAATAGTTTCCAACGCAATAGACGCACGAAGTCGCATTCGTCCATTTGTGAGTTCCTCCACATAACAGAGTAAATCACTAAAGAGAAACAATAAACGTTCATGACGACCACGACGAAATCGCTTCGTGAGATGTCCATAATGTATAAGTGTACGACTACCATCCAAGTCTGGTGGAATACGAGGACATTTTTTCCCTCCTGGTCCAATCATAGATATTGGAGTTCCCGCAGTCGTATTAGTATTAGTATTAGTATTATTAGTAGTAGTAATTGTATTGTTCGTTGTGATTGAATTCGTTGAAATAGTGGCGGTCCCCATAGTGTTATTTAATGTAGAGGAAAGAGATGGAGCTACCGTGGAAGATGCAAATGGAGGTTGTGCAGATAAGGGAGAAACAGCAGATTCATCAATAAGGGCAATAATGTGTTCCACATCTTGTCTAGCTAATTCATCCAATACAATACTCCCTTCCTCTGCTAATCGCAATGCCACTACATCTACAAATTCAGATTGAAGATGTGTTCGCATTGTTTTTCGCAGAAATCGGGATTCCACTAAACAACGGGCCACATGCATATAACGACGAAGAGATGCCAATGGAGTTGCAAGAAGAACGAGTAGAGTTTCAAACCCTCGCCAGTCTCGTGGAATAGGAGGTGGTTCATTCACAAGAGCCTGAAAAGACGAAGAAGAAGATGATTTAATAGTATTATTATTATTATTATTATTATTATTATTATGATTATTACTATTATGATTATGACTATGATTATTATCATTATTATTATTAGCACTAGTAGTAGTATTAGTAGTATTAGTGTTAGTAGGAGGGGTTTCTGGTAAACGTGTACACACCACCCGAGGATCATCCGGCACACCCCGTTCTCTTCCCATTGTATCCCAGAGAAAATGTAGAAATCGCCCATATAATGTTAACTGTTGTCTTTCCTCTGCGTTGATGTGTTTATCTAAACGAGCCCGCCATAATCGCCAGAGCTGCAAAACTCGAGGGGCGATATTTCGGGTGTAGTTGAGACTGTACATCATGTGTTCAGCCACGTAATGCCGCATAGCGGCGGAACAGAAGATCTCAGGAATAATCTGCAGTACATCTACATCTCCTACACTACTACTATTATTATTATTATTATTATTATTACTATCACCACTAACAACAGCCTTTTCTTTTTTCTTTTCCTCTTCTTCTTTTTTCTTTCTATTATTGGATAATGATCTACCTGAAGTATTTATTCTTTCTCCATCATGGGATGCCTTTGATTTTAATTTTTCATCCTGTTGTTCAAGTATACTTGTACTGTAGGTAATAGCAGATTCCAATTTACCAACAAGTGTACTCTGTGCCTCCGTCAAAGTGGCAATATTCGCAAATAGTTCCCAATACTGTGCAAAGGTTAAAATAGCGGGAATTTTAATATCACCCTTTTTACCATTTTGTTGTTGTTTTTGTATTCCTTTCCCTGTGGGATCTACTGGCTTACATCCCTCCAACAAGGGGTCATGAATGTGTGCTACGACGTATGTGAGTTGTGAAAGAATAAGACTTTCTTCATCTAATAAGCGACGGAGAATGTTAAGAGTCGCCTCTACAGAGTGACGGGCATCTGCTGTTGTAGTTCCTAATGACATTTGCCTCTTTTTTTTTTTTTATTTTCGCTCGTTATCTTTTTTTTTTCTTTTGTATATGTATATATCTATATATTGTACACTATTTCCACCCCCTAATAATAAGATGTATAGACAAATTATGTATATATTATTTGAGAAGAAAGAAAGAAAGAAAGAAATAAAGAAAAAAAAAATAACAATAAGGAATGAGTGAAATATATATAGATTAGCAAAAGAAAAAGAAAAAGCACAAATTGAGATAACCTTCTCAACATCCATATACAAATAATAGTAATAATAAAATATATAATAAACGCAAACTTCCTTCTCTTCACTCTTATTACAGATACCTGTATATATATATATATATATATATATACAGAAACGCACACTTTGTGAGAAACTCTAAAGCGCCGCCCGTTTCCCATCCACTGCCTGCAATAATGCCTGTAATCTCTTTTCCCGCAGTTGACTGGCCCTCTGCACAATACGAGTGACTTCCGCCTTCGACATTGTTCCCGCCGCGATGGGAGTTCCCCGCACATCCCGCAGTTCCATCACCGCAGAGATCACGTGACTCAATCCACGTTGACTAAACCACTCACGCACGGCGGAATCAAACTTCGACGCACTCGCACGATCCATCAAATACGGCGGAGGAGCCGCCTGACGACTGACACTTCCCGTCATGGTCTCTTGAATCATTGTATGAATGAGATCATCTTCTCCATTATTATTATTACTATTACTATTATTATTACCACCAGCCATTGCGGTCAAGGGAACAGCCGCAGCAACCGCAGCTCCACCAGCGGCAACAGCTCGTCTAAATGGAGCCACTTCTTGCATGAGAACACTAATCGTATCAAATACCGCACAACGAATATCATATGGGGCATAAGGGCAAAGTCCCATATCTAGTAAAGCACGAATACCGCCTTGTTGTACAATACGCACAAGCGCTAATGGATTGTAATGACATGCCGCCTCTACCGCATCAATACTCGCTATCACGACGGTTTCTAAACCAGAGATTAACTGTATAGGTCCATCTTCCGCTAGTAATGTCTTTATAGACATATGGCTATTACTATCACCTGCAGGTTTTTCCACTAATGCATTACGACGGCGACGTCGGAAAAGGGCCTCTATATGTTGTAAACAACATTGCCAAATTTCAATAGCATATGGGATAAGAAGTCCTTCCGCAATAACACGTCTTTGATCATAAACTAATAAACTAAGACCCTGTAGTAATCGAAACGCTAATTCCTGTTCTTGATATGTAACTTCTGACAATACCACATCCAGTGGTTTTCTCTTTCCCGCTACAGGCGCTACAGTTGCGGTTCTGGAAGTCGTTGCCGATACTGCCGGTGTTGGTGTAGTGGTGGATTGTGCATGCGTGAGTGTATTCCACACCAGTGCCTCCTCCTCCGATAACTCTATATTCTCCGATCCACCAGGATTATATCGTGAGCGTTCTTGTATTCTCGGCACCAACACACACTCAAACACGGCTGTGGTGTAGTGAGCTCCATGTAAGGCCCGCTGGGTACGTTCCCACGATGCACTTTTACAAGAAGATCCCACTGCAGATGAAAGTGTTGTGTTTGTTCCTCCCGTATTCATTACTACTGCTGCTGCTGCTGCTGCTGTTGTGGTTGAAGAAGATGCGATGGCGGCTGGTGTGGATAACGGCAGTGGTGTTGGGCCGCCGCTGTGCATCTCTACAGCCGTGCGGGACATCACAGCGGAGCGGATCGCATCAAACGGAACATGCGGGGCGGCGGGATTTTTTCCATTCATTTCGGCCGATCGTGCGGCTTCTTCTGCCGCCTCCACGGAGAAATCCGATAATCGCTGCAGGGCCTCTCGTAATCCCTCACTGCGGATGAAACCATACGGGGATCCAATCTTCTCAAAACAGGCACGGAAACTACTGGAAATGGTCTGTTCCTTTAGTTCCTCATTTAACGCAGCTTCAAAACAGGCAACAAACATATCTGTGGGTTGTTGATTCTGCTGATGTTGTTGTCGTTGTTGTTGTTGTTGTGGATGCTGCTGTTGCTGTTGCTGTTGTTGATTCTGCTGTTGTTGTTGTTGTCCATGTCGAGAGTTAAGTAAGAGGGCAGAAACATTATTCTGCAGAACGTTATTTGAACGATTCATTTTCACACTTGTAGACATCTCCACTGTATGTATGTATCTATGTAATATTTACGTATATTGATTTATAATGATTCTAAAGTTTACAACCACTTTGTTTTTTCTTTTGTTCTTTACAGTGATCCCTTATAATAGAAGGATACTCTATATTAAATGGATGGAGAAGGGGAATAAATAGAAACAAAGAAAAAAAGAGAATAGAAAACATAAACATAATCGTAAACAAAAGAATAAGCTTGCAACAGATACCTCCTACATATATATATTTATTTTCTTTTTCTTTCCCTTTACAATGATATCATACTTACATTTAACACCAATAGTGATAAATTCAAGTGAAAAATATATCTGATAACATATTGAAAAGATTGCACGCGAAATAAAACCCAAAATCCCTTATTTTTTCTTTGCTTTTTTTTCTTTTATACTTTTATAGTCAGTACATCAATGTGTGTACACATGTGGGTATTTTCCCATTCCAGTCTCTAACAGGGGACGGAACAAATAAAAAAAAAAATAATACTAATAATAATAGTAATATGTAGATAAAGTTAAATGATATGAGGGAAATTATGGAGGGGATTAAAAGAAATAATATATATATATATTCATTTATATGTGATCACATCAAAAAAAAAAATAATAATGAAAATAAAAAATAACATCATGATAAGAAGGAAACCTGTTTTTATTTTTCTCTCCTTCCATTGTTTTCATTTTATTCCCCCCTCCTCTCTTTTTTCTTTTTTTTTTTAACTATTATTCCTTACAATCACTATTTATTGCGTATTTACCGCTTCCTTCTTCTGTTGATTGACTCCTTCCTTTTCTTTTTCTTCTTCTTGCCGTAATGCCTCTTCCGCCTGCTGTAAACGTTCCTTTGCCCTTTCCAGAGTCCATTGTGAACAGGCACTTGGAGAACCAAAGAGAACTTCATGTTGACAATTCCCATTACGATACCACTCTAATATACTATCGGCAGGAGCACAGACATAGACCACTCGTCCTCCACTTAGTAAAGTATTCATAGTCTTCTCACTCTCTTCGTTATTATTATTATTATTATTCTCATTATTCTCATTATTATTTGAGTTATTGGTATCTGATACTTTATCATCATGTGTATTTCCATTTTTCTCCTTTTCCTTTTCATTCCTCAATCCACATGATGCACCGCCAAGAAATAACTGAACCGCAGCCATATCTGGTGTATTATACTGATGTGGTATTTCCACTTCCACCATGTCTTTACTGACACCAGCGGCTCTTTCTACTTGTTCTCTTGTAGAGGGATTTTTATTATCTTTAGATGGCACACGAAGAACACGTCTTTTATTTCCTGTATAATGATACCGTTCATGTAATAAAGACTGTTCCATTCCACCCATGATGGGATGTTCTTCATACATAAAGAGACGTCGCCGTAGTAATACACCACCAGCATTATCCATAGCAGTAAACTTTTGTAATGATATTTCAGTCTTGTCTGGTATCCAATACCCAAATATCACCGGTGGTCCACGTATATTATTATAATCTGGCTGAGATGTATTGGAGCTTTTATTCACATTCAATAATTCATCACGTTCTTTTAAAAGTCGGCGATGTTCGGATGTTAATTGGATTGTACCCATTATATAAAGATATGGACGAAATGCAAAATGTTCATATGTGGTATTATCCACATACTCTGGTGGGGTATCTAATAGAAATGTTGTATTATAAAGATGTCTTTCACGTTCTTCCTGTATACTTACGGCATTACTTTCTGCTGTGTAAACAACACGTTCTAATGGTATCTCATACTCTCCTTGAGCAAGTGGATAATACTCAAAATCATTTCCAAGCCATCGAAAGGTAAGCATAAGTTGTATATGTCGTAATTCTAATGCCTCTTGTTCCAATTTCCTGTAAAGATTATCTAAAGCCATCAATTCATCATTTGTTACTCCAGCAGCGAAGGGATCTCGTGTTTGTGCCATTTCCATTAAATGAATTATTCTCTTTCGTTCTTGATCAAATTCCTCTGAAATTGTCTGTACCTTCTTCTTCATTTCATCTCTATCCTGTACGATTTGTTTACCATACCGTTCCCATCCTTCGGCTTTACGTTGTTTATATATAATGTTTCCTTCTTTTACCATTGCTGCCAACCCACGGGCATCCCGCAGTCGTTCCTCTTTTACTCGACGACAAGACATGAGAGAAGTGAGATCTTTATCTAACAACATACCCGCCACTGTGCGTTTTCCTCCTATAGTGGGAGACAACATAGACATCATCCCACTATCGGTATGAAGATATGGTTGAAGCGCTAATACATGCAATTTCCATTGTTTCTTTACTTCTTCTTCTTTTTCTTCTTCTTCTTCTTTCTTTTCCTTTTCCTTCTTTTCTTCATCACTTCCATCACAGCAATCAACAACACCATCCCCTACACGTGAAGGGGCAAGCCAAACATTAGAATCCCCACGACATGCAAAAGGTAATACAGGACCACCTAATCGACGTAAAAGACGTGCCGTTCGCTGTTCAGATGGCGGTTCTTCTTCATGATATAAACGAACATGTGCATTGGCGATTAAATAACGTTTCCATCGTTCATGACTTAATGGAGATACAGCACCAGACATACTACAAGCACTTGTCTGGAGTTCATCTGTTCCATCTAAACAATCACAGTAATCATCATTTAGTCTCTCTAGAGGAATACGTTGGGCAGCCACATTATATTGTTGTTCAAGGTGTAATTGCACTTCATAGGCATCTTCCAAATACACACGCAGTGATGAGAACATGGAATTTGAAGTTAAAGTAGACATAGTAGTAGTTTTTGGCTGCTGCTTCTCCTTTTTCATACATAGTTCTACCTTACTTTGGTTTCTCTCGGTATTTAAATCAATCAATCGAGTTCCACATCGGAAAAAGTACTGCATACGATTATTATTATTATCCCCTTTACGATTCTTATGGGGTGCAATAAACTTTAGACTATACTCCTCCAGTGTATAACAGGATGCTTCTGAGACTTTTTGTAAATGAGATGTTTCTTCTACACTATCGGTGGAGTCTGTGGTTTGAACATTAGAAGTAAAATGGGGTGCTGGTGGGGCATGTATGGAATCCCCATTAGAGTTTTGAGTCTCTTCATCCCGTTGTTTACTGAAGAGCATATCAGATGTGAGTATCATCGCAATGAGAAGAGTTACAATACTGCTAATTAATATCACATATGCTTTACTCCCACCTTCCTCTTTTTCCACAAGAGGTTTGCCTTGTATAGGATTTTCTTTGGGTTTCTGATCTTTTTTCATGATTGATACACAGACACCAAGAAGCGATAAATAAAATGTATATATGTATATATGTGTCTGTGTATGTTTTCTTTTTTTTTTCTTTCTTTTTGTTACCACTAATAATAATAATATAAATCACTCAAGAAGAAAAAAAAAAAAGAAACGCAAAAATAAAGGGAACATAAAAAAAATATATATATTTGATGGATACACTTCACACAGAAAGTCTCTCGAAATGAGTTGTATTGAAGCTTTCAGCATCTAGTTACTTTATCCAAAGCAATAATTTTCTTTTGCTTTTCATTATGTTTTCTTTTTCTTTTTTATTTTCTTCGCATTTCTCTATTTCAAAAAAAAAAAAACACACACACTCACCTTTCTTTCCAAACTCAAATAACAACAACAACAACAACAACAACCATAACACCACCACACAAGCCATCTTTTCCCTTTCCCTCATCCCTATTTCTCATATTCCATTACCATGCTTCTCTCCTCTTCTCTTTTTCTTCCATACCATCTCTTTCTCTTTTAATGAAAGTCTATTTAATTTGGTGGACGAAGTAATTTCTCTGTTGTCGCTGTTGGATTTCCCATTGCGTAATACGCCTCAAATGGATCCCGCACAATCGGGCCTGTTGGGGACCGCAGTACTGTTGAGATTGGACCCTTCACAGGCAATACTTCAGTCGATAACTGTCCATTCACGACATCTTTTATATAAACAGCTGGAATAGAAGTATTATCATTCACGCGAGTCTTACCAGGAACAGAGAAGACTTCATAAGTACCATCTCCCTGTAAAACTAATGCCGCCCAATGATCAATGGCAATTCCACGTTCAGTTGGGTGACGTTTCATCATCTTATCAAAGTCTTCACTGCGGAGAATCCCATTACTCTCTCGGGTATCATAATGTGGACAAATCATTCCAGGAAGTAAACCTAATCCATGTACACGAATATAATCCCACGATGATGATTCCGTCGTTTCACTCACATTCTCTTCTTTTCCCTTTGTTGTTGTTTTTGTATTTTCTAATGAAGATACGGCAGCTCGCAGCATGGGCTCTGCATATGTAGATGGATCCGCCGAGTCGCTGTGGCCGGCGGTGAACCAGCAAATGGCCCCCGCACTGCCCCCGGCGAGTACAGCCGAGCCCCGCAGGACCACCGCCCGCAAACAGAGATCTAATCCCGTTTCCTCCCAGCGGCGAATGGCGAAGAGTGTATTGCCGCCAGAGACAAAGATAATATGCGCATCTCGCAGGAATTGCAGTTGGGTGGGATCAATTGTATTTGGACGGGAGGGATCCGCCACTCGGACTTCTCCTACTGTACACCCACGGGTGAGAAACCACTTGGTTTGTTTTTCCTTGTAGGAAGGAATATCATAAACAGCTGTGCCAATATAGGCAACTCGCACAGGTGCGGTTAATTGTTGTTTCTTCTCATCAAAGTGTCCAGTGAGCATTAAGACACGATCTACAGTGGAGGATTCACCAAAACATCCCAGTCCAGATCCAGCGAAAACACCCTTTACAGATGAAGTATCTATCTGTGTTATCATTTTAGGAAGAAATATATAAATATAGATATACGTATAATAATAATAATATTTATGATATTTTCTTTTTTTTTTTTTTTCCTTTCTGTACTCTATTCGTTGTTTTTTTTTTCTTCTTCTTTTGTTTCTTGTTTTTGGTGTTCTTGCTAAGTAGAAAACCAAAAATGTATTTAACGTCTATAAGTCTCAAAAAAAAAAAAAAAAAAACAGGAATAATATGTCTTGTACGTATACGTTAACAGAAAAAAAAAGAAAAAAAAATATATATATGGTTTGATCTTAGAGGAAGCATAAAGATGTAAAAACTCCAAACTAAAAAAAAAAAAAAAATAATAACAACAACAATAACCAAATAAGAAAATTAAATACAGAGATGAATGCAAATGTGTGGAGAAAGTTCGACTAAGCGTCCAGTCTCAGGATATTCTGTTCTCTTCTTATATATATATATATATATATATATATATATATATATATATCTGCGTGTATGTATGTATGTATGTATGTGTCTTTATATGAATCTTTTTTTATTCTTCTTCTTCTTCATATGTCTGTCTGTACGATCTTTGTAGGGGAGTGATTTCCCATCATGATTATACCATAGTTTCTCCTTCCTTCTCTCTTTTCATTTTTACTTGTTTCTCTTCTTCTTTTCCCTCTTCTTGTGCTTGTTCAAGATAAGACATTCGTATAGTTTCCATATGAGGAAGAATAGAAGATAAATATGGTGTTATTTGCAGAGGCTGTTCCTCACTATCCCCATCATTATTATTGATATTATTATTATTATTATCCACACCGCGTCCAGCAGCGGGTCCACGTTCAGCTGTTAAAAAGACAAGATCTCGCATGGCTCGACTCATCGCCACGTAAAAGACTCTTTTCTCTTCCGCACTGCGAACATCAATTGGAAATTCCCCAACATAACAACCAGGCACAATCACCGCAGGCCATTCTTTTCCCTTTGCTTGATGGACTGTCGTTACTGTAATAGCGGCTGGGCCTGTTGCTGTTGTTGTTGTTGTTTCTGTAGTTGTAGTTGTAGTTGTGAATCCCTGTTTTAAAGGACCAAAGTCATCTGTTGGGAGAAGCGCGAGGAATTCATCAATAACTCGCTGTAGAATTGTATAGGCATCATCCCGCACTATAGACTCTTCACTATTATTACTATTATTATTATTATTATTATTAATAGTACTAGTAGTGTTTTTCTCTGCTAATACCTGTTGTTGAACAGCACGACAGGCTTCCACCAATAATTGTGTAATGGACATACTAGATGCATCTTCGTTCTCATCCTCATCGATATCATGATCATCATCCCATACACCGGCAGACCGCCGCATAGATGATGATATTGATGATGGCCGTACAGTAGAAGAAGAAGAAAAACGTTCTCGTTTAACAGCCGTATTCATATTACTATTACTATGATGATTATGATTATTATTATGATTAGTGATACGATGTCTAATCTTTACACCAGTGGTATTACCCTCATCAAATCCTGCCCGTTCCGCAACGGTACGCACTACTTCTTCCACATCGCAGTATTTACGCCCAAGTGCATCATGTGCGGCTGTTGTCACTTCAATAAATGTTCGCAGCATTTTCTGTTGAGATTTTGTTGTTCGTAATCGTTCATGTACATGGGCAAATCCATTATGAACTAATTCTCGTAAAATGGTATAATGGGAATAATTAATATGACTCTCTGCCTTTTGTAGGGCTTTTGTTCCCAACATTCGTTGTCGTTGAAGGGATTCGGCTTGTAAGGCAAAAATAAATTTAGTGGCTGCTGCTGCTGTGAAATGATGAGGAGCATCGCGAAGAACACATTCCACATCTAAATTAGAGTGTGGATGTACACATAGACGTAAATAAGATAACATGGCTCTTACTAGTGTAGTGGCATTTGGTTTACTACGGCGTAACTCACATACAGGGATTTGTTCTCTTTCTAATGTTTGAATAACTTCTCTTACCCGTCGACGCGTACGGCATAAAATGGCAATTTCACTATATTGTAATCCACGATCTCGTGTACGTAGGAGTTCTTCTATTACTCGCGGTAAGAGGCATAATTCTTCCCAGGCATGTACACATCGTATTAACATAATACGACGACCACATTGTCCTCTAAAACTCTGTTGAGTGAGTTGAGTAACTTCATTCACCGCATTTACAATTTCTGCAGAACTGCGATAGTTGGTTTCTAACCTTACAAGTTTGGTCTGTGGAAATCGACTACGCCAGCGATCAAAACTATTGGTGGTGGCTCCTCGCCAAGTGTAAATACATTGATTGGGATCACCCACACATGTTACTCGGCACACATCTCCTGCAAGAAGTGCCAGACATTCTAATTGAACTTCATTCAAGTCTTGAAACTCATCCACTACAATATGTGTATAGGTGGAACGAAGGTGTAAAGCTACTGTGGAGGGTAAACGTGGGGTAATGGTATTTGCACTCATATTACTATTACTATTACTATTACTATTATTATTATCTGTACTCTCTTCTATGGGTTTAATAACAGGTCGTAAGGCTTCCAGAAACATTTGTTCAAGATCTCCAAAGTCTACCGCATGATGTTGTTCATGCAACATCATCTGATAGAATCTAAAAAGATAAGCAGATTGTCGTGATGGATCCATCTCTACACCTGCCCGCATATCTTTCTTAGTCTTTGCCTTATTCACATACTCAATCAATCCTAATACGGCCTCTATTCCTTTATAATGAACGGCGTGAGATTCCACCACCGCCGCTGCCAATTCCCGCTGTCGACGGGCATCATACACTTCTGTAGAGAGATCTATACAACCATGCCGCCGCAAACACTCCAATCCAAAGGCGTGAAATGTTTTTAATTTCAATCGCCGCACAGCTGTAGACATGGAAGATGGCAAAACGGCAGCGACACGTTCCCGCAGGGCTTCTGCGGCCTGCCGTGAGAAACAGAGACCGAGAATATTCTCCGCAGCCACACCGTGGAGAAGCATGTAGGCAATACGACTGGCCATCGTAAGAGTCTTTCCACTGCCCGCACCGGCGAGAATGAGAAGTGGTGTCGATGTATCTTCACACACCGCAAGCCGCTGAGAGGCATCTAATGCTGACAAGAGTTGTTGATACTCCATCGTATTTAATACTCCTCCTTCTCCTTCTACTACTTGTTGTTGTTGTTGAGATTCTCCATTATTATGATGATGATGATGATGATTATTATGATTATTATTATTATTATTCTGAGGGTGGTGGTGACTAGTGGGGATCGTATGGACAGATGACATGGATTTAACTAGAGTCCACAAGAAGAGGAGAAAAGAAGAAAAAGAAGAAGATATAAACAAAATATGGGGGGAAAAAAAAGGTGAATCGTTAAAATCATAAGAAATAAAGTCGATTGTGTAAACATCAGAAAGAAAGAAAACAAACAAACAAACAAACACACGAGAGGTGACGCTTCTGCAACTCAAAAATGGACAACCATCACAAGAATAATAACAATCAAAAAGATAAGAAAAAAAAAAAAAACAAAAATAATGATAATAATAATAACATAATAATAACAACAATAACAGCAGTGTGATTATTATATTCGATCGAACTGTTCTCCTCCTCCTTCTCCTTCTCCATCTATTTCCACTTCCACTTCCTAACATCCTTCTTCACATACACTTCAACTGCTGCCGAGTGTTCTTCCTTTTCCCCATTGATGATGAGAAGCCGATGTACTCGCCGCCGCTGTATTTCCTCCCATAGTCGTCTGCATAGGTCTATATCCCCCAGAAGTCCACACCCGCGGCCCTGCAGCGTTATTATTATTATTAGGCATCACATATCGTAGAAACCATGCGGGTGTTTGCAGTAATTGTACACCTTGTGTTTCTGGGAGAATATCCTTAACAAAATAATATAAATGGCCAATAATAATTCCAACAATATCCTCCACAAATCCACCACCCATAATTACATGAAAGACAAGAAGAACCCAGGGAAATGTATTCGCACGGAATTCAAATACAAATAACGTCATTCGCATCTCCGGATGTCGTTTACAGAATACCCAGCAGAGACCCATCATGAGTGCCGAACTGGTGATGTAAAGAGGAATAAGTAAACCAAGCACCGTTACCGCAGTTATCATAAAAAGCCACATCCACAAATAATCACCACTTTTCCCATCATAATCAAACTTTTCATTATAATTGGAGTACATGACAAGAATAGCAAGAGAGAAGGGCCAATTAAAAGAAAATTTACCCAAAAAGAAAGCGGAAGTAAACGGCCGCCAGAGTTCCATACGTGTAATGACCTTTTGTGTTAATAAAAGTCGTTCAATATCAATTACTTCAAAAGAAGAGATAACCGTGAGAAGCACCGCAATACCCAATACATACTGAGTAATAGGAGGTAAGTTCTTTAACCAAGTCTCAAAATTCTGAGCCATTTTCTTTTTCTTTTTTCTTCTTTTTTTTTTCTATTACTACAATTACAATTACTAGTACTAATCGTATTCGTTGTTATTGATTCTTTTCTTTGTTTTTTCTATTGTTTTGTTTTTTTCTTTTGTCGTTACACTATTTTTTTTCCCTTCCCTATATATATATATATATATATATATATACATGTGTGTAAAGGTGAAATTCAAAGAGGAGTAAAAGTAAAACAAACAGAAAAAAAAACAATTATACTACAGTAAACAATATACTGTATGATATCAAAGAACACAGTATCCATATATATATATCTATATCTATATTGATAAATAGATAGGAATATCACACACGATCACAAAGAAGAATAGCAACAACTGATGCCTCTGCATCCCAATAATAATAATAAAGAGAAATAAATCATGTAAAGAGTTGTACTTGGAGAATAGAAAGAGTGTTGGTACACACCAGCAAAAATAAACTAACACACGCTCACACACTGAGAGAGAGAAAGAAAGAGAGGGATATAGAGAAATAAAAAAAAGGAAAGCATAATAAAAGAATGAATCCTACCCGATCATCATTTGTAAAACTACGAAATACGAAGGAATGAAAATAATAATAAAAAAAAAAATCAGAAATTTAAAAAAAAAGGAAAAAAAAAAAAGAAAACAAACATATCAAGCATAGAATAAGTCAGAGAACCCTTTTTTCGTTTTTTCTTCCCTATTTTTTCATAATTTCCAGAGTTTCTATCATAGAACGTATACATTAACGCTCCTTTTTTTTTTCTTTTTTAAATTCTATTCATGACCCAATCCTCTTTTTCTCATTTTCTACTGACTGACTGATATCTTTAATGCGACTATATATATTTATCTCTCTCTCTCTCTCTCTTACTATATATATATATATAGATAGATAGAAAAATAGATATACAGCTGAAATAACATGGAGTAAATCAGTTTAAGCCTTTGTCACTGACATTTGTTGTGCGGCCTGTCGATAGCCTTGCAGCATCTCGTACGTATTACGTGGATACTTCTCATCTCCCACACAATGTGTGAGAATCAACCCAACAAACATAATACTCTCAGGTGCAATCATCACACCCTCTTCTTCTTCATCATCTTCCTCCTCTTCTTCTCTCTGTTCTTCTTCTTCTCCCTCTTCCTCTTCCTCCTCCCCTTTCTTCTCTTCCTTTTCCTCTTTCTCTTCCTCTTCTTCACTCATCCTCTCTCTCTCCACACTTCCCGGTGTGCGGGGGCCGCTGCTGCTGGCGGAGGTCTGCACCGGCCGGAAGCCCCAGCCGAGAAAGCGGCCGCAGATGCCGCAGCTGCTGTAGCACCACTCGTGGCCCAGAAAGAATGAGTGCTCCCGCGACCACGGGCCCCGCAGGAACATCGCCGTCGACGGATGGCAGCGGATGATGTCAAATCGCCGGGCGGCGGGGTTTGTGGCGGAGTAACACCACAGCGGGCCGCAGTCGTTGAAGAGATCCAACTCGTACGCGTAGACTTGTGCCATCCACGCATCACTGGCACGGTGGGCGAGAATATCATCAACGGAGCAGAGGGGACTTTTGCATTGATTGCATAAGAGAACAGCAATCACATCTTTATTATCATCATCATCATCCACCACTACTTTATCTTCTTTATCTTTATCTTGTTGTTGTTGATGATGATGATGTGGATTTCTGCCTTCTTCTTCTTCATTTTCTTCTTCTTGATTTCCTTGTATTAGTAGGATTTCTTGTTCTTGTTCTACTACTTCTTCCTGTTCTTCTTCATGTATTTGTTCCTCATCTTCAGGTGCTGATAAGGATGAAAATGATGATCGTTGCGATGATGATGATGATCTTGTGGACTCGGGTGATTCGTTTGATTTATTCTCCGTGTTGCCCATTTTTTTTCTTTTCTTTTTTCTTTTTTTTTTCTTCTCTTCTCCACGCTATACACAACAGTGGTATCTCTCTACTATATATAGCGTTACTGGGCACTGTAAAGAATAATAAATAGTAATAATAAGAGGAAGAAGAAAGAAATAAAATAAGCGGAACAATAAATATACATATAATAATAATAGTAAAGAAAAAAGAAAAGTATAAAAAAAGACATATCATCAAAACACAGAACTATTATGTGTAAAGATGAAAAAAAAGAAGAATTAATAAGAATAATAATAGCAATAATAGCAATAAAAATAACAAATAATAGCAATAAAAAGGTTCTTTTTTTTCTCTCTCTCTCTCTCTATATATATATATATATATATATATATATATATGGACTTCACATCCCTATTATTGTTGTTTCTCCCTCACTATAACTATAGAGAAGTTCACTGGCATACGATTGCAATTGATGTATAAATCCCACATTAGGACAGGCATAACACCGCACCTCCCGCACAAACTCCAACACCACCTGCACCATCTCCGCCGCTACAACACTATTACTACCACTATTACTACTCCTATTACTACTACTAATACTAATACCATTATTCTTGTTATTCATACTAGTAGTGATAGTAGTAGCGGGAGTAGTAATAGTAGGAATAAGAGAGGCATCTAACTTCCATCGCTCTTTCATTTCTTTTAGAGAAGGATGAAAACAACAGAATTGTAAAAGGAATGCACACACCACAGTCACTGAACGAGATTTCCCTGCCATACAATAACACACAACGGCTTTTCTCAATCCCTCCATTACTGCTCGCATCATGATGGTAACAATAGAAAAGTGTTGAATTGCCTGAAAGGATGGTTCATCCTGCCATGGTAGAATTAACTTAAAGTATAATACTCTTTCACAATTTGAATCTTGATTCGATTCATTGAATTCCATTTTCTTCTCAGAAGGATCAAAGGAACGTGCCTCTAATACTTGCTGTAACCAACGTGCAGTGTGTAGATATAAGGATTCATTATTATTATTATTATTATTATTATTATTATTATTATTATTATTATTGGCGTTCTCAACATTACCACCACTCATTACATTTTCTTTTATTTTATCCCATGAACATACTGCCAAACGACGCATATACTTATTATCATCTTTCCCAACCCTTACCGCTCCTTCACTTCTTTTTTTAATTCCTTCATCTGTGGATGAAATCAATTCTCGTAATTCCAACGTTGGGGCTTCTCCTCTTCCACAGGCGGAGATGAGAAGAAATAATTCATCCGGCATTAATCGCTGCTGCAGTGCCCAAGTATCCTGAACATCATCCAATGCTCCCAAGTAGAGAAGAGGAACAATTCGTTGTGGACGGAAACTACGCGGGAGTGGTTTCAGAGATACTTTATGCATAGAAACTCCCTTTTCATTTATCCCCGTTGTTATCGTATTTGTATTTATATTCTCATTTATATTACTATTATTATTATTATTATTTGTTGTTGTGTCTATAGGGAGTCCAGCACGCCATTGCTGTAGATCTTTCCACACGTGTTGAGCAATCATTCCAGGCATTCACATTTCACAAACATATATATATCTATCTATATATATACTGAGATGAGAAAAGAAAGAAA